TGGTACAGCACCAGTATTTTAATTTAGGGTACTATTTCAGCAATGACTTGGTTAATTCACTTCTGATTTTGGGGACACTGTTCCCATCTTCTGGCACGATAAAGAAAACCAGTTCAAATTCTTATAGCTCCCAACCTTAGGAGAATTGTGCCTTGTCTTCAGCAGGATCTGGTAGTTCAGTGGTTTCCAAAGAGAATCATCTGCCACTGCCACTGAAAACTGAGCTATGCAGGGTATCAGGTGTGCTGTCACTCTTTCCTGGAACTTCTCATCTCCTCCAAGCACATTTTCTAGCTGTGGAAGTAAAACGGATTCAGCCAAAAACACTTCTAGCTTTGGCTTTCAGGTACTCAAGAATTAAGTCAAAGCTTATCAGTGGGAATGCACTGGTTATTGCAAGAGCAATAACATGCATGAACCTTATAGAATGAAGACATTTTAAAAAAGGATAAAAAAAAATATCAGTAATTCAGAACCTTAGGCAAAGAAATCAATACTGTCAATACTGTCTTTGGCCCAAAGCCAATGAACTAATCCCCCCTTTTTGTTAAGAGGGAGGACTGACACACAAGACAGTCCATGGTGAACTGCAATAGTAGACAGCTCTTTTCTGTGTTATTGTCAGAATCAAAGAAAGCTTCATCTACACACCAGCCAAAGAGAAGAAAAAAACCCCATCATCAACAGAATGAAAACACAAAACTTCCCCCTGCAGGACAGAAATATTGCTAGTCTGTCAACGTAGCTAAGGGATGGTACTACATAGCAGTTATATACTCATCACTCAGAACAATAAAGTGGATGTGACACATCTGGCTTTAACCTACTGCCCCAGCATGTCTGCTACTAAAGGAAAGAAAAGAGAATAGCCACAGGCTACAGGAGAAGTGCTTGGCCATACCTGTGGATATGGAGAATTTCTTCAGGCCACTACAACTGGGAGGGGCAAATATTCCCATAGAAAATAATAACAGCTATTTTTGCCCAAGAAAGCAGAGGAGTCTGAATACACCTCATATAAGCATATAAGACAAGTAGCATATAAGACAAGTCAATGAAAAAAAAAGGAATAAAGTTAAAAGAGAAACAAGTCTCCCTCTTTCTACACAATTTTATATGCAGGGAACTCACTGGGACTGACATTGAAAATTTTCACGTGGTCTAAACCTTGCAATAACAGCCCCATGCCCATGGATGAAAAATGTCCTTTGGTTCCATCAGAGAAAGATTCCTCATTTACCAGAG